AAATGAATATCGGTGGCCTAAATCTCCTCTTGTATACTCCTGCTTTTTTTTCCCCCCAAAGGAATTTTTGTTCACAAAAGGGATTAGTTACTCAATACAGCACACAATGTCCTCACAATTTCCAGTCAGGTTTGGGATAATTATACCTTCTGTAATCCACAATCCACTAGTTAGCTGATAAATTAGTGTGTTTTTACAAAGAAGTAATACTCATGTTACAATTTGTAACACAAACCAAAAAAAAAAAAAAGCCCAAAGAAAAACATAAATAAATAAAATCATGAAAAATCGGCCATGCAGTGAAGCAAACAGAATTAACAGAGAACAGTTTCAACCCTATCAGATTTCACTTTAAATAAAGCAAACCCCATACTGCAAAAACACAAAGGCCAATGTTTTACCCTTCTCTGAATGTACATCAACAGGGGTTATACAAAAATTCAAGGACAGAATGTGACTGAATAGTAACTTTTTGAATTACTTTGTACTACCTTTTATACTTGAACAGTTAGTAGTCACACTGAGTTTGATGCAAATATTCATATGAGGAAAAAATTACTTGCACAAGAAAAAAACTGTAGAATCAATCACAATCAATTTCATCCTAGTTGTATTCAAAGGGGCAATATGGGATATAAAACACAAATTGGAAAATCTGAGTGATGTTTGTTAATAATGTTACTTTAAGGTAATTAAAATACTCTTGTAGATGAAAGGTAATAAGTCACTATCAGATACCTTTAGGCAGACATAGAGTCTTTGTTACTCCTGGATGTTCCACTTGTTTCATTCACTCTATATTTACAGTAAAACATCTGGACTAGAAACATTCCATATTTATTCAGGATTTAGCCCAAAATATTTTCATCAGTATTAAAAACAGAGAAAATAATCAGGCTATTGGACCCAATAAACAAGAATGAAAGGAAGAGCTATTGCATTAACACTTTGAGAAAGATATACTACATGTTCATTTGATTCACACATTCCAAAGTAAGGTTTCTTTGATTTTGAGTGCACTGCACAGAACAATTTAGCTCAGACATAGCTGACATGGGCTCAGGTAGGTGCTCTCATAATATGCCAGTTCAACAAGGTGCTAAACCATAAACACTGCACGAAGTTCACATCTGACTGAAGTCAGTGCTCATTCTGGTATCTGCTGAGGACTTTTATACTACTGACAGGTTGGTTAGAGTAGCTGCTGCACTAAGGAGGCTGTTATAGGTCCAGCAGCTGCAAATAAAAGGCTAAATGATGGTTGATAGCATAAATGAAATAAATATATTTTTTAAAGACAGTTTTCACAAACTACTGGTTACGCAGTAAATATAAATAATTGCCTGGTCTAAAAACTCAGATGTTATTCTGGACCAAAGAATGCCAGACACATACAAAACTCTGTGGTTTGGGGACCAGGCTATGGGACTTTTCTGGGATGCAAAATATGCAAAATTCCTGTCCTTCATAAATCCCAGCACCATTTCTCATTCCATAGCACTGTACATGTCTGAAATGGCTGGACTTCTGCACATCTTTATCTTAATCCTACTTAAAAAGCTTATGAATGAGAACCCTGGAAAATGGAGGCAAATCCTGTTTTCCTCAGCTGAAATGTCTACTGAATTCACAATTGTCTACTGAATTACTGGGATGAGGACTAAGCAAGAACTGCTGTACCTGTAATATAGTAATTAGTGATGAGATGAGTGACTGAGATGAGACGCACATCTACATTTACTAAATTTAAAAAATCAAAAAGATAAGTGTGCCTGTACTGTGCAACAGCATTTGACCTATAATATTCCTTTTTTTACTAGCTAAACATAGTTTTAATTTCTTGCCACACATTCTTCTCGTTTTCTCCTATTTATTGTGGCATATCCTATAAAATACATGCTGCTCATTCACCGTCACTTTGTTCTGTCTCACCTTGCTGTAAGTGAAGTCAGTGGCAAACCTTCACTGACCTCGAAAGGAGCAGGATTTGTCCTGAGATGCCTAATCCAAAGCAGGACTCCCTCTTAATTCAGTAAGCTTTGGATCAGACCTAGAAGGGCTCTTAGCAGAATCAAGAAGTGGCAAGACACAGTCACATATCAAAACCACATCCGAGTATTTATCTCACATTTCTAATCTTTGCTGTGAAAGGGATTAAAAAGCAAGCTGTTCCTGTCAATTGCTTGGATGCCACACAGGATCTGAATGACTGAACAAGCACCTATAGTATATCTATGCACACTCACACAGTTTTATCTCTTCAAAAGGGAGCTAATAATTGGTTTTCAGGCTTATGGTAATATTTCCTCACTTGGTTCCCAACTTGCCACTGTCAAAATCCCACCATGCTTTCTATTCCTACAGAGGAAAGAAAATGGTTGTGCCTCTCAGGACAAACTAGAAACTTATTTGACCAAACACAAAAAAATGAAAACTCTAAAAGAGATGTTATCTAAACACTTCAGACAAAACCTTGCCACTGATCCTAACATAGTCTGTTTCAAAGTGCATCCAACTGATTCCACCATATCTTGTTTTATGTTACCTAAGGTCAAATGTTTTGTGATGGTCTTTGCTCTCCTTTATGTCATTCAGCCAAGTTTCTATAGCTGTCTGAGCTGCCATGGGTGTATCTGACTATAATTTTGGCTCATATATGTATTTACAGACTGAAGGTGACAAGATAGAGAAACTGAGTGCATGTATTATTGTGACTTCTAGCTATCAGAACCACAGAAACCACATCAAATTGCATTAACTTAGACAAAAGGCAATTGAAATAATGAAAATCATTACAACATGTATACAAGTGCAATGTGAAACTACCTGTAGCAAGCAAGATCTATAATATTGAATCAAATTAGGGCAAGAAGGGAAAAGGAAATAAAAAGGTAAAAAAAAAATATTTAGACATCTTTGTAAATTGAAGAAACAGCCATATTCATATGCAAAATCTGAGGAGAAATCTGCTTGCAGTGACCAAAAGGGGATTTTCTTAAAAGCTCAGGGTCAGCTTAATCTCGTTTAAGCAAATTCATGATGGGGAGATGTGTAAGTCATAAGAACAGTTTGATGAATGGCAAGCGCTCATTCAAGTTTAACCATCCTATATTTCTGCATTTATTCAACATGCAAATGAATGTAAACGAGTCATAGGCAAAGAATGTAAAAATCAGTATATTACTTTTGTTTTATTCATCTGCTTCATCTTGCTGCATTGACTCCTACCTAGTCTTAGGCAAACACTAATTAAGCATATGTCTCAAGCCTTAGAGACAACTGCCTGAATTTCTGTATATAAAAGACAAAATATTTCACAAACATATCTGCCTGCTGGATGTCTCTGAGGCAGTGTCCACTGCCAGGTGCTCTCCCAGGTAATGTGCAGTGTGTTTCAGCAGTGTGGCTCTGACAGGATTTCCTCCTGCCCGTATCCAGGAGGAGAGGTCTGTTACAGAGCACATTGGTGACGTTTCGAGGCGTGCAGGACCGAGAAGCTGGTCCCTGAGTCCTGCAGGCAGTGCAGGAGCTGTGTTGCAGAAGTGCTGGCAAGGGCTGATGGATGTTAGCTTGCACCAGGGGATCACGGTGCGTAACATGGCCTCCCTGAACCCTTTTTGGCAAAACTTATGCCCATCTGCTTTCCCTCTGCTCTTTCTCCTGGAGTGGAACATATGGCCCAGAATATGTATCTTGGAAGCAGAAAATTTATTCATGTAGTTTTCTAAAATATTCTGAATACTTTCATTTCCCTCCTATAAGCTTTTATTCCACTTACAAACCTTACATTCTGACACAACATTTTTTTTAACAAAATAAGTTCCTTTCTTGAAAAGTTAGGTAGCTCACAATGAAAAATGAAAATTAAAAAAAAAAAAAAAGTGCCTTGTACCTCTATAGTAAGAGTTACTATTGCAAGAAAAATCTTTGCCAGAATTCTCATTTTTTTGTCCATTGCACCGTCATATTTTAATACTTACCTTGGTCCAAGAGCATTGCATCCAATAACAAACAACAACAGAAGAAAATAAAGCACAGTTAAACTTAACATGAACATCTAAACATCAAACATTTTCGTTTTGAGTCATTCAAACTGGAGATGAGCTTCCAAAATTTACCTCACATTAGTTAGTGCTTCATGCCACAAACAGAACAGCTAAGTTCCTCAAGATGCAAGTAAATCTTTCTTTTAAATACCAGTACCAACATCTGTGTGTGCAATCCTATTTCCACAATCAGGGTAAACTTCTCCATTGTATCAGTGGGACTTCAGCCAACTTCCCTGTTTGAAGACAGCAGAACTGGACCCAGGATTCATCTGAATTTGTTCTCACTTCTGAATAAATATATATAAACTTTACACATAGTTGTGTGTGTCTACATGCATAGAATATATACTTGTTTATATACCTGTATACACATAAATATGCATGCATATAAATATATGCATGCATTAATATTTCAGTATTTTTATACAAAACACTCTAATTCTTGATTCTAATTCTTGAGAAAACGTGCCATAGTAAAACCATGCCAGACCAGCTGATGACTCTTTGACAGCTTCTCCAGAACAACCTACCAAACACTGACACACCACATCTGCAGTGCCTGTAACAGGACAAGCAATACTGAAATTGATGTTTGTCATAACCAAATGCTTTTATAAAAAAACAAGTAGATAATGTACTCTGTATTTTCATTGAAGTGTTTCATATGGAGTGCATTAAGAATCACACAGATGTTTCTCATCAAATACACAAAAGCAAAGTACAATACAATACAGTAGTTGCCTAAAAACAACTGAACTCAGCAGGGTTCCTTCTGCTGATTTCAATGGGGTTTAGGACAGATTTGGATGTTTTCACTTAATGACATGTAGATTTTTATATTCTTCTTTTCTCTGAATATTTTAGTGGATGTTGTTGATTCCTACAAGTCAGATGCATGGGTCATGAAACCATTTTCTACTATCTTTGTATTAAGCCTATTGCTTATCCTACCTTTGCTGCAACAGATGAGTTGGGTTTCTCAAGCAAGTCCCAAAGCTTCTTCCTTTTCTCTGGGCAGCAGGTATTATCAAACTCTTCCCCTTCTCTCTCTCGCAATGTCTCTGCCTCTCTCCTCAGTTCCTCATTCATTTGCTCTTTCTTCTGATGGTATCTTGCCTGGCAGCAAGATTCTAAATATATTTCATCAATCCCCCAGTAATCAAGCTCCTGGCCAAAAGAGAGAGCACACATTTCTTCCATCATATGTAGTTTCCCTGTCCTGTAGAAATTCAAAATGGAGGTGAAAGCCCCTGGGTGTCGATCAAAAAAATACTCATTTTCATTCAGATTATAGTCATCACATACTTCTAGCAGAGATTCATGGGTATTGCAGTCTCTGAGCTTTCCTAATCGTGTCCTTGGAAGTCTGTCCAAAGTCCTCCAGAGCACTTCATGGTTGAGTCCACCGACATTTATTTTAACTCTCCGTGAGCAAGCTTTGCTCCTAATGATCTCCACTGGTTCTGGAGGGAGAGAAAGGGTGGACCTTGAAGACTTTTTGGTGATCCCTGGTGGAGCTTTCTCAGCCATTCTGAAAAAGATGAAGTTGTAACACCAGAGTCTGTAGGAAAATGAGCTTGGAGACTACGAGTATTTGGGCAGAATCCTCTTCAGACAGACAGCTCCATTCCCAAAGCTAAAAAAGACAAAAAATTAGAATACTGCTATGTACAATGCATCCTCCAATCTCTCTCTTGCTCTCTTTCTCTCTTTCTCTCTCTCTCTCTCCATACTTTTATATGTAGATAAACATTTAATGATTGCAATTTGCCCTCTTTATAGTGATACTCTGTGGTAATATCCAGAAGCACTGGAACAGCTGGAACAGCTAGGAGCACTATGTTTAAACAAAGGAAAAACTCACTGGAATTTCTGTATTTGTGAAAATCAACTGTTACAATTTGTACAAAGGACTTAAGTTTTCTCCTTTTTTTTTTTTTTTTTAAGAATCACTTTCTGATTCAGCTGTGTTAGTTTAATCTGATTACTTATCTTTTAATGTGTGTGGTGTGCAAATGGAAATATTATAGGAATATCTATAAGTAAAGATAGAGTTTAGTCTACCTTTTATTGAAAAATTCAAATTTGGGAGATACTGAAACTAAATAAAACAATGACAGCATATCAAAACCTCCAAACCAAACTGCTTCCCTCTTTGTCCCAATTTAAATTTTAGTTTGCTGTATTATTTAACGAGTAAATGTTATTCACCAAACAATTCAACTGCCATCCTGTAAAGTCGTATTTTTTAGCACCACACAGTACTTATGTCGTTACAAATGGGTAAAAAGAATCCTAAGGCTTTTGTGGACAACTGACCAGTAATACATGTTATATATGTATATGTTATATAGGTAAGAGCTGTACATACTGATCCTCTGAAAAGCTCTTCTCTGCCCCACTGTTCACCTGTTCTATTGCTGCAGACATGACTGCATGACAGCCATCAGCGGCCTCAGTTTCAATAATCCTCAAGTCCATCCTCACTCACTGTGCCCAGTGCTTCAGTGAACTCTGAAGTGCAGCTGCTTGTCACTAAATGTAGAATACCAGTATCAATCAGGAAGGAAACCCACCCACCAGCTCTACTGCTGCCAACTGTCAGACATAGCGCTTAATATTAACCTACATTAGTATCACGGCCCAAAGAATGCTTAGACAAGGCTTCTGTTCCAAAGATGGAAAATCCTCCCCAGTAATTTCCCAGAGTTAACATCTCCTCCTCCTGTTATCAGCAAATCAACAGTTAGTAATCTCAGGGGGTTTTTTATTTGCTTGTTTTGTTTTGAAGTGAAATAAGTCCAGCAAATAAAAGAATTCAAAGTGTACAAGAATTTGTACTCTTTGCAGAGTAAAGCATGAAAGTTGTGCTGAGAGGGATTTTTACTTATAAATATATCAGGAGTAAACACCTGAGAGGGTTTGAACTATTTGTACTGAAGTACCAGTTGGCACAAGAACAAATGGGTACAAAATCATCATGAGAAAAGGCAAGAACCTGAAAGAGAATTAGAAAGTCACATAGACCAGATCCTCACCAGAGCAGTGAGGATCTAGAAAAATCCTTTACTAGACCTATCAGGAAAAACAAAGAATAATTCCAGTATTTCATCTGACATACCCATGACAGTATTGACTCTGTTGCTGGTATAAAATCAAAATTGCTAAATTTCATTATAGCTAAATTTTAAGTTCCTCTACCAATAGATAAAATAAGACTCAGTTAACTACAGTCCAAGTATAACAGACTATCATGTCCAAAAACATCAGAAAAGAGGAAAATTACTTATGAGAAAAATACTTACATCTAAAGATTTACTTTTTTGTTTTGTTTTGTGCATAAAATAATTATGGCAACAGCCTAGAACACCATCACTTTAGTTACCTATTTCACTGTCAAGCTGAACTTCAAAACTATAATGGTCAAAATATTCTTCATCTTCCCTTCCTGCCTCCAGCACTGCATTGTGAAGATCCCTCTTCACCTCCCAGTGCAACCCATAGCGCTTCTGTGCCTAAATTACATAAGGGTTTAAGCCTGTAACATTTACCTTCATTCACAAAAATTATCGTTTCAAAGATAAATATCCTATCAAAATCAAAGCCTGGCATCAGTAGATTCACATAATATATATCCCTTTCTTTTGTGTTTGCATTTTGTTTTTTTTCTTCTTGACCTTAGGCTGATTTTTTTCCTCTGGTTTTACCCTCCTCTTCATTGCCTTATATGTAAGGGGGTGATAGTGTGACTTCTGAGAAGTGGGGGACTCCAATCCTTGCAAGATCTCCTCACTTAAGCATTTGTTAGTGATCTGTTATGCATTTGTCAGTCTTCTGACATACAGACATCTACACAAAGAATAAATAGTTATGAGAGGATGTTTCTTTAGAGAGGAAATATTTCCAAACTCTATTTTTTAATAAAATCATTTTAGATTTTAATGCACAATGATATTTCTCCTTAAAAGGTTGTCTTACTTAAGAAAACACGAGAATTTAAGAAACCCATAAAGAGGTTCTGTTACCCTTCATGAAATCAGTCAAGTCTTCAGGAATTTCCAAGATAGGTTCAATAGTTTATTCACTATTGTATCTCAGGGATTTATTTTTCTGTTTTTAAAATGAAAACATGTACCCTAATATTAGCAATATCAAGTAAAAACACAATAGAGATCAAGCATCTCATCTGATTAATCTTAAATTAAGCATATCCTTATTTATTTTTCTGACTGCAAAAACAACAGATTAACAAGACTATGCATTGCTTTAACTTTTATGCAGTGTAGTTACCAGACATATTTTTTAAACAATGCAAATACTCCAGTGTCACCATGAGTAGTATAAAGCTGATAAAACATTTCTTGATTTTTCAGTATAATTATTGGTTGCATTTTCCTACTTGAGGAACTGTGGCTTTTCTAAAAAACTTTAAAAATCCTGATGGCCACACTGAAGTGAGCAGTGAAACACTATTAAGTTTAGTGTTGAGAACCTGCTATGTATATATGTATGTTCCAAGGGATGAACCACCATGCACAACATGCAGCATTCTGGAAAGATAAAAAAGCCGATTTCCCCAAGTGAAGAATCTTGAACCATGAGGGTGATTTTTTTGCCTTTTTTTACAAAGTTCTTGTCATTGAAATATACATTGAAGAAGGAGGATGTATAACTTTAAAATAGATAAATAAATAATTTTAGTTTCCTTCATAAGTGCTTTTCTTCCCACCTTCTTTCATTCTTCCTACCTTCTGTCGTTCTCTGATGATAATTTTTAAAAAATATCTTATGTGCAGATTTTCCCCAAACCTTGTATAAAAAGCCTGGTTTTACCTGTGCCTTAAAAAAAACCATATTCAACAGCCTCTACTTTCAGAATCACAGGGTCCCCTTGCCATCTTCATAGTCTTCCTTTGAGCACTCTGCAGTAGCTTTATATCATTGTATTGTGACACCCAAAACTGCCCCCAGCACTCGAGGTGAGGCCGCCCCAGTGCAGAGCAGAGTGGGACAATCCCCTCCCTTGCCCAGCTGGCCATGCTGTGCCTGATTCACCCCAGGACACACTTGGCCCTCCTGGCTGCCAGGGCACTGCTGACTCAGATTCAACTCGCCAACAACCAGGACCCTCAGGTCCCTTTCTCTGCCACTGGTTTACAGCCTCTCATTTCCCAGTCTGCACATCCATCCAGGATCGCCCCATCCCAGATGCAGAATCTGGGCATTACTCCTTGTTACACTTCATATGGTTGGTGATTGCCCAGCCCTCTGATTTGTCAAGGTCTCTCTGCAGGGCCTCTCTGGCTTCGGGGGAATCAACAGTTCCTCCCAGTTTTGTGTTCTCAGCGAATGTAATATCCCTTCCAGTCCTACATCCAGGTAATTTATAGGATGTTGAAGAGCGCAGGGTTGAGGACGGAGCCCTGCAGAACCCCACCACAGACAGGTCAGTCTGATGTCTTCCCATTCACTGTAACCTTTGTGTGCCTGACCCATGAGCCAGCTGCTCACCCATCCCATGATGTGTTTATCCAGCTGTGGGCCAGACATTTATCCAGAAGGATCCTGTGAGAGGCGGTACCAAAAGCCTTACTGAAATCTAAAACAGGTAACACCCACTGCCTTCCCCCATCAACTAGGCGAGTTACCTTGTCGAAAAAGGAAATTGCCATTATGATACTATATAACATTTCTAACTTGAAAATCCACATTATCAATTTAAAAAAAAATCACCAGATCTTCCACTATAACAAAATTATATGGGTGAAGTTACCTTTACAATCCATTAAATTACCTTTCAGCACTTTAGCTACTGTAACTAACTCAGAAGATTTTTTTTTTTTTTTCCTAAGAAGGCTTAAAATATTTTTCAGCTTGGCTTATTGCCTTAACTTTTAGGCTGTGTGCAATTCCACCATGCACTTTGTCCACCATGGGCTAGTAATAAATGTAACTATCACTTGGGAGGCAGGCAAAGCCAGCCTGGTGCTCACCAGCATGCTTAGTAATTGATAGAGAAAACCACAAATTCTACCCCCATATATAAAAGCAAATCTAGATAAACCCTGTATTTTTCCCGTGCAATAATAAAATTACTTTGTAGCAAAATACCTGTAACATTACATAAAACTCTTCAAATCAAAGCCATTTTTTTTGCATTAAATAAAAATGAAAACTTCAAAGACTACAACTCAAAAAGCTAGGAAAAGCCAGAAGGAAGGTTAAGTGCTCTCCCTGGCACCACAGACATGCAGCTTTTAACGGTGTGACTCTCATCAATCCCTTACATGAACGGGTAATTATTTAGCATTTCTTTTCATCTTTCTCATTCAGTATTTGGCCTCTGATGTTATTCAGCATTTCCTGCTGCAAGGCCTACATTACACACAAAGTGCTGAATTTCCCTCAGGGAGCTCTCCCTGTCCCACCCAAGTGCTTCCAGGGTATCCCAGTCTCCTGTTCAGTAGGAGGCCATTATTACCATTGCTTTATACTGTAGAAATGAAGGTCATAGATGCCTGAGGTACCCAGCAATTTTGGCTGCTCACATTGAGATAGCTGCTTTTTACAGAGTCCTTAGAATTTTCAGCCCTTTTGATGGGCATGCCTACATGACCAGATTAAACCCTCAGGCTG